ATTCAAGCAAGTATATAGGCCTGAAATAAATATACTCTATATAGGCTTAGGCTTATGGTAAGTATTGTAAGTATGCTAAAGCTATTATATCCAATAATACATTTGGTGTTCGTCTATACCCTTAACGTGTATTTTTTTCGAATATAAGCCATGTTTCCCGCAAAACATGGATTAACCATTGGTTAACATCGGTTTACTACAGTGTTGTAACTTGTATCATTAAGTAAAATGTCTTACCGGAATACAAAAAAGCCCAAGCTCTTCTTAAAACCGTTTCAGATAGAAGAACATAATGTTGCGTCGTTGCAATGTAATTCCGGTGGAAAGTCCAATGCTATTTTTAGATATTGTATGACGTCATTAGTTACTGTACATGCTTTAGTTGCCGTCCCCCACGGTTTGTTGCCGTAAACTGAATATATTATATTGTTAATATAGAGTAATAGCGCCCCCATTCCAGGAGAGTACGGTAACTTATTTAGACAAAACGGTGGGTAAAGTTTTCCAATTTTCTTTTAAATAATTGTTGTATAAATGTTGATTATATTCAAGATATTGGTGATGGGCCAGTTGATTATATTAGTTGTGTCCTCCAATTCGAGACCACTCTGTGTATCTGAATTTTGGGGTGGTCTCGGGGTTCGGTCTCAAATTAGAAACCTCTAAGTAGAGATCACAGGCTTGAAGTGGTCTCTAAGCAGCATAATTGGAGGGTAACCGAACCTGAAACCTGTAAATGAAGACCGAAGATAAAAGTGGTCTCCAAAAGACAACATGGGACAACAGTTGTTTGCTTTTAAATTTGTTTTGACGAACTTGAAGCTGTTTAAAACACATTGAAAAAATCTGAACAGCATACAATAAAGCAAACATAACACTTACACTTTATTTGACTAAAGTTAGGTTTTTAGCTATGTAGGTATCCATCCGTTACATAAGGAAAAATTTTATTTTCTTTTGTATTAGCCTTTCCTTATATTCCCAATCTTCAATAAGCAATTCTACAATGAGTTTGAAGTTCCTTATGGCCATGATAAAGTGGGGAATAGATGCCCTGTAGCTAGACTCGTTGATCGGGAGGGGCGACCAAGTACTGGAAGGGCCACACCCACCTCAGTCAATACTGCCATTGTTGGAGCTGAACTTGAATGGCATTGTTGGAGCTGCCCTTGCGGCTATGGGGCTGGATATCCACTTCTTTTCACATCAAAGCTAATACCAACTGCAGGGAAACACTCAGATGACACTCTCCCACGAATCTTTGGATGATAACATTATGTGGTATTCCATCTTGACAAGATTTCCCCAATATTTTCCCCCAATAACTGTTTTTGTTACTATAAAAAATAATTTTTGCTTTTAGTTTGAATTATTTACATATCTTTGATTTTAACAGGGGGACCAAACATTTAGCAGGGGAATTTCCCCCTCTCCCCCTTGGCTACAGGGCCAGGGGATAGTGAAGCAATTCAATGGCTGAAGAAGAAAATCTGAAACATAGGACTGTATCAAATTAGGGGTAAGCAGCTGATTCAACAGCACTTTTTGGAAATACGTACCAAGAGATTGTTGTAAAACATTACTGATTTTTTATGACAGCCAGTGGCATGAAACTAAACATTTCTTTTTTAAAAATAGCTTTTTCAAAGATAATACACTTAAGAAACCTTTATTTATATTTTAAATTGATTTTATTTTTAAATGTGGTCTTGAATTGGAGGTCATTTTGTCACTTGGCTGGGGCGGATGCAGAGGGGGTGCAGACGGTGCGGTCGCACCCCCCACCCCCTAAATTGTATTAAGAAAAATAATTGTTGTATTGTATTGTTGTAAGGTCTGAGAGTGCAATTTGCGGGCACCTAGAGGCAGGCGCAGATCCAGACCTTTTCGCACCGTTCGCCAATATAAAGTGATAGCAGTGCCTGGTGATCTGGCGAATTCCAACTCTTTCTGTCAGAAATGCCACCTACCTAAACCAAAAACAAAAATATATCTGTCTGTCGTGATTCGGAAAAACGCAATTTATTCAATTTTGAAATTTTTTCTTAGGGGCACCCTGTGGATGTATTCTAACATGGAACGTGTTCATATACTCCAAACAATTTTTCGAAATATGAAATTATTATGAGTTACGCATTATATCCGACCGTCCACCCACTAAGCATTGAAATGTTGGCAATCAACCAATCACAGAAGACATTTATGCATATTTCATTACTTTCCCAACTGATGGCGGTACAATAAAAATGCATTATTATTTTTCCTGAAGTTACAACTCCAAATTTGTGGTCATAAGATTAATTTTAGAACCGCATTATTAACAGCATTATTACGTTAATCTTTCCACGTCGGTGCGTGCACTAAAAAAGTTTTTTTTTTTATGGGATTTAACATGTGTATAATGATTTTAATAAACGATCATAATTCTCTGTGGTCATACTAGACTCTAATATTTTTAAAGAAGATCATTCAACAAACAACATAAAACAAAATTGCCACGTCGGTGCACGCATAAAACGTATAATTTCCTGAAATTTTGTTATAGAACGGACTTCCTTGTGGTTTAGGCCTAAGGAGATATAAATGTATACCGTATGGGTCTGAACTTTGTAGGTGACAAAATGTTCTTCCTTATGTTGTGGTCATATTAGAATATAATTTTATTGAAGACCATTCAAAAAAACAACATGAAACATTTATCAAACTTTTAGGTTAAACTTTCCGCTTCCGAGCATGCATATAACGTTATTTTTCAGATATAGGCCTATGATATTTTCATCACCGTCGAGAATGTACTGATTATATATAAATTGTGACCCCGCCCACTCAGGGACCCCATTTATGTGCGATAGTCAGTGTAAAGCTCGGTTTCCATAGAATCGCTCACCCTATCGGAGACAGTCGCCGACAGGTGTTGGGAAGATTGAACCTGGTTCAACTTCTCCGATTGCGTTGCAGACGCAGACGAATCAGGGTGCATTGCTAGTTGCCCTGCGTAATCGGGAGGGCACCCCGATTCGTCTGTGAACCAAAACTATCAGCGACACTGTCGCCGGTAGGGGCGAGCGACTCTATGGAAACCGAGCTACAATCTGGATCGCACCTGAGAGGTCCCTATTCTCAAAATTTTCTATTCCCTCCGCTCCAACAATGGTGGGGTCAGTGAGGCGGACCCACGCATCCTCTACCGCCAAATCCTGTATAGAGGGCATCATATTTAGAGTGTAAGCTCAGTGTTAAAAGATAGGTGGTCAGTTGGTACTTTGAAAAAGTGGTCTCGAATTAGAGGGGTCTCGAATTGGAGGGCAGACTGTACGGTTCGTTAACAGTACATGTCATATAATAATATTTTTATTACTAGGCCTTTATCATTATTATCATTATCCTTATTATTATTATTATTATTATTATTATTATTATTATAAGTTGCCCTATTCCTGGATGGCCGAGGCAAGAACTTTCCATCAATTATTGATTATTTCAGGTGGAATTAAATCTTGTTCATTTTCACGTGTGCATGTGTATACTGATCAAAAACATTATTGAAGAAGTCAGTTAAGTCAGATGGAGTCGCAAATAATCTAATGTATTTAAAAATGTTATGTGAGTACAATACTGTTTAATAGTCTTACAGTACTAGGCGTGGTTATATTTGAACCAATGTTACATTACTAGTTCGAGTCCATTGAACTTTCAATTTTCAAAATTTTCATCATACTACACTTGAATAATCATCTTTTAAAGTCAGAAACAGCTGGCCTGAGTGTGCCATTTCTGGACATGAGATGGCGGTGCACATAATATTTTGTTCACCTCAGGACCATGGTGAGGCTGAGGTGAGTGAGTATTGTAGGCCTACGACCACCGTACGACGGAGAGTCTTTCGGGGAAATGCTGACGCATCGATGGCTTTGTTGTAGTTTTGTGCATGGCGAAAATTTCAGCCTTGAATTGTAATATTTCTACTACCTCCTCGAGCCTCCCCAATTTTCAAAATCCTGAATACGCCACTGGAATAAACTGCAATATAATGAGTATTAATGGTCTAAAAATTCTCCTTAAGACCCTGCAGATAGAGTTGTAAAAAAAAAAAGTTGAAAAAGTAAAGGTAGGCGAATAACCCCTAACTCGCAGCGTCATTATGCTGAATTGCGTATGGGCGTGGTCCGTGACTATAGCTAGCGGCCGTAAAGAGGCGCTTTTGCCTATCTATACATATTCACAGCATTCCACAAATTGCCCTAGTATATAGCGATGACGAAACTTTCACTTTACTTTATAAATTTCAAATTTGACCTAATTAACCTTCGTTTATTGTTTCATATTTACATAATGAACTCCAAAGGCATAAATATCTCGGATTATATAGCCACTGTTTCAATCACTTTCATTGTGCGCTTTTATTGCCTATGCGTTACTATATTTCATCGGGACTAATATATACGGGTATCTAAGAACAACGTTGTTATAAAGACACAAACAAAGAACATTGGTTTCTTCTTTCAAAAAAATGTATTCTCGAGGTGTAGCATACAAATGAAAATAGTAGTTTAATATATACAAATAAACCGCTTTAAAACGTAAACAATGTAATAAACTGTGGTTAACATTCACCATAGACTCCTTAGCGTTACTGTGTATGTCATTACGGGTATCGAGGGGTGCATCGGGTACACGTCGGGTGAGGGAGGGGTGTTTGAGAATTTTGTTTAAAACGCTCATCAAATAGACACTCTGTTATGGAATTTTAATCAAAATTTTTGAAGTACCGTGCTCCCTTCTTTCTCCTTTCTTTTTTCCCCTTTTTTCTCTTTTATATTTTTTCTATATTTTTTCCGGGAAGGGATATCCTCGTGGGATCCTGGATCCGCCCCGTTTTTCTCGTGTTACCACAGTTTATTACAAAGAAATCTAGACATGCGTCTACAATTCGACCGGTTTTGAAGCTAGGAATTCGTCCAGCTGCGTTAAATATGTGTTATAAATGCGTTTTGCAATGATTATTAAGAAAAAAAAAAGCAATAAATATATAAATATTAGCTAACTAAGGACGGAACTGCACTTGTCGTGCGTTGAATATGCAATACTGTACAATGAATAATAAATCACATAAAGTATATATTCACACTTAAAATGGTCTTTGGTGGCATCTTATCAGATGTTATAGGCCTAACACATTATTATAAGCAATTATACAAGTACTATTAAGTTTACATATTTCAGACAGCACTGAACTGGTCTGTTATATCTTCCATTACATCACCATGTCGATGGCACAAGGAATTGATAAAACAATTTCTTATTTCAATATTTTACGGACCTTCGTTGCAATGAGCCTAAAAATCTTCCTATGCATATATGCATATTAGAAATTTGATTATAGTTCTGTTTTTGGGGAGGGGAGTTGATTAGGTCTATTATGATTATTTATATTTTCATCGTCGTCATCTACGTTTTCATCGCCATCGGCATTATCAATAGGAGCACCATCATTACTATTAGGCTATTTTATTTCAGGGGTAGCCCCAGTGGGAAGCGGGGCAGATCTCCCAGTCGGGAAAAGCTGCCCCAAAACCACAATTCGTCGGGGAGAAAAACAAATATATGTATTTTCTACATATTAGTAGACTCTAAAATCGATTAAAAATAAGCCTTTGAAACCCATAAAATGTCACCTACTGGCCCACTGAGAGGCGCTCGGCCACGCCCTCTTTTTTCTCGTCGGGGACATAGAATGATACCACAATAACTGAATGAACATTTGATTGGTTTTGAGACAACCACCCAAAAATACAAACATTTCGTCAAATAATGGAATGTCTTATCAGGGAACAGAGAAATTACAGTTCCCTGGTAATTTAACTGTTCCCCGGTCTTATTGAGTCCATCAACTAAATGCTATACAAAATGCATCCATATGCCAATAACGCCAGTATAAGTTAATGTACATGGTCCGTAGTTTACAGTGGCGCATCTAAGTGTGCGGGACACACGCTCCCCCACCCATAAAAGCCGCTCCCCCACCTCCAGTCACCCTCCACTGGAAATGTTTGGAGCCAAAAAATTACGCTCAAGTAGGTTAAAATCATCTTACTTTGCTCGCAAACTTTCGCGCTCCCCCTCCCCACCCCATACATCCCCATTTCACCTTTCCACCATTTCCCCTGATTTCAAGGTTCCTGACACGTTACGGATAGTTTATATATCTGTCGAGTCATTGCTTTCAGGCTGATTGTCCTGGATTTTTACCACATAATGTGACCCGTTATTATTGACTTTTCCGTTACTGTCAGCACTGTGTATTACTAATGGCTTGACGATTCCCTCGTTTGAGTTACTGTCCAAAGTCCGAGAGGATGTTTCGCTGGTGAGTGACGTCATTACATCCGTTTCGTCTCCAAGAGCAATCTGGATGGCGGGGTCAACTTTGTATGTAGACGACAGTTGCGCGTAGTATCGTCTTTGAAGTTGTTCTTCCGGGTCAACGTTTCCTTCTGTACGCCGATACCATATTGTAGCCATAATGTTGAAGAAAAACATCTCAACAACAGTTAGCAAGTTATCAATATCTGAAGAGAAAAATAATATTACAACGTAATTACTTTCATTGCATCTGTTGGATGTGATTATAGAGATGAATAGACAGTGGTGACGCCAGTGGGGGAACCAGTGAACAGGTGCCTCCCCCACCCTTCCGTACGTTGGGTACTCAACACAATTTGTCAAGGGAAAAATATGTAATTTTATATAATATTGTGATGACTCTAGAATCGATTAAACAGCCTTTTGAATTCAGAAATTTTGGAGCTTCCTGATTCTTTGCTCTCGTGGCCACATCCTAGATGATCATGGCCCTGCCTACTTCCGCTCTAGTCGAAAAGTCGAGGACATCGCCACCCTCACCACTTGAGAAAATCCTGGCGCCACTACTGTGATTTAAACGATTTTTATTTATGTCCGCTTGGACAGTAAGTAGGATAGTTGATTGTAGGACATAAAATTATTATTGTCTCCAATACAAAAGAAACTCATCTTTCAACTAAATGATGTTTAGGGGTTGTTTGGACCCCTTAGATCCGACACGGGTTTAATTAAAGCCGGGCGGTCATTTCACCCGACGGTCGACGCGATTCTATGGACAACACATCGCTACGACGCGCGCACAACGGATCGTTTTTTAATGAGGATCAATTTCAGACTGCAACTGACACACAGCAGACGGCGTCGCGTCGAGGGCTCACGTCTGGGAGAGGATTGGATTTCGTACGGTGACGCAGTGAGTCCCCGGGGTAGAAGAAACAAAAAAAAAACTTACAGCTCCCACGCATTCTTGCTCCAAACGGACCCCGGCACGTGATAACACCAGCAGATATGAAAATAGCTATCAGAATACTTTGTGTTGTGGTAAGCACTAGAGCAAGCTGCACTGTAAAGAACTTTGGAGTTATCTTGAACTTCTTCAGTGGTTCTTTGCATAGTCTGAATAAAATGATGATGCCGTTGAGGGCCATAAGAGTTGACAATAACGATGCCACTTGAAAGAAGATGAAAGGCTCGTGTAATCCTATCTGTTGGGAGATATAAAGGCGTCGTCTTTATACAAGTGAGTCACCTGAAAAATGCATGTTGGTACTGTACTGTACGTCACTTTCAAGTTACATTATACTAAGCCCTCAAAGATGGGAGGGTGACAAACAGAAAAAAAGTCATTCTCTATGGCTTTTAATCACCCAACTCATTGGGGGGAGACAAATTCTCCCATTTCTTTCCGATTTTCAGCACGTCATATAAACTTTTCTCATATAGGCCCTACTCAAGAGTGCTATTTTTTCTTGACCACACCCACCACTCCTGCAAATGTCTGGACGCGCTCTAGTACCTTATACCGTAAATGCTTGAACAAGCGCCGCGGCGCTTATACAATTTTTGGAGGCTTCAGTGCGGCGCTTATTCGAGAGTGGTGGTTATAAAGAAATGTTGACGTGGCGCTTACCATGCCCGTTCCCATTTTACCTATCTCACGTATTCCCGTAGTTCTAGACCTATCATGTACGTCATCGTAAACAAACGTTTTATTGTGGTATTTATTCATTTCAACACTGTGTATATTGCATTTAAACCCTGTTTCTCAAAGTGTTTCATTATAAACAGGGTTAGGCCTATATAATACTCTCGATTAAGAGCCGCGGCGCTTAGCAAAATAATTAGTGGCGCTTATTCATGAGCGGCTCAAATTCGAGAGCGGCACCATTTATCGTATAGCTAATCTACGACCATTCCAACAACGTATTGTTGAGCTTTACTACGACTATCTTTTTATTGTAGTTTAAATTGAACAATAGGCCTATAACAAGCACATTAGTTGTAAAGTGATTAGTCTATCTTTTTTTATTGTAGCTTGAATTGAACCGAGAAGTAGCCTAGTTGTAAAATACTAAGTCTATCTTAGCATGATCTTAGTAATCGATACCATTGTTTTATTAGTTGACATTACCTTGCCGGGTTTGTAGGACCCATTTGTCCAAAGTACGGTTGCAACAAACCACAATATGGGCTTTAGAACCGCAACTTGTAAGACGGCTGCTTTTATTGTTCGTACAATTTTCAATAAATTTTCTCTGAAAAAAATAAAATAAAACCACTTTTAATTATTGAATCATATGCAAAGCATTTATATATATACTCTATGTGGGTTAGGCCTATGTTAGTTGACGTTACGCCAAACCAATACAAAAAAAACCGGTTTTATTACTTTCAAAGTTAATGACCATGACAATCACTTTAATATTCAAAGAGATATCATTGTGTATCATTTAATTACTCACAATATAAAATGGTTTATGATTACAGGTGAAACGTCAGCCTTTCACACACGGACTGAATGCAACGAACCCTCTTCTGCACTTTAATTCTAGGCCTAATGACACAGCGGCATAACGCACATGGGCTCTCGGGGGTGAAGCTCAAGGGCCCCAGTCCAACGGGGCCCGAGAGTGTGTGAAAATAAAAGATTATTCTATGATTTAAAGTCACAAAATATATTTATATGCTATAACGATACTGACATAGCCTTAAAAAAGACTTTTCAGCCTTTCAAAAATTGTCTTAGGTTAGCGACTACTTCACTAACTTATGGCCTCCAACATATGATCGCCCCCGTGCCCCACAAACTCATCATTATGTCACTGGTTTTACACAACGAGTAAAATTTCAGCTACGTTGTCTCGCCTTGAAATCAAAGGATTAGCTTTGACTACTTTCCAGTCGGCTATCGTTTCCACTACTCTCAAAGTCATCAGCCCTAAATTAGAAATATTCAAATGCAGCTTTAACTAACTTTCCCCAATTCTTCTTAACACTCACCAGGTGGTGACGGGCCAAAGTACAAGATAAATTGCCGGGCCCTAAAAAGCACCTAATAGGACCCAGAAAATGTCTACGTGAAACTCTTAATGCTCATACACTCTGAGATTTTTAAAAACAGAGTACGGCATTGTAATGCGCAGAAATATCTATAATAGGCCTATATTCGATAAAAATATTCAATAATACTGTATTGAGAACAATGGTCGTCATATATTTACTTCGGTTAGGGTCTATTGCTATTTCATGAGTCCCTGATAAAGTATAATATTGACAAAATCCACCTGCTTTTAGTGAAGTAAATTTAAAACGTATTCACGAAGTAATAATGACCTGACGTGATTCCAAAACGTGTAAATTTATGTTGAACCAACTTTAAAATATCAAACAAAAAAGTGCGTGCCGATATTTCAATAGCTTTAGAAATATGATTTCAAAAGGTATTTTAGTGCATCGTACCGTCACTGGTACGAAGCAAACGTAAGTACAGTACCTGAATAAAAGGAAACAGCATTGAATGTATACAACAGATACGAAGTTGATCATGATCTTTTTTAAGTTAAGTCATCGTACTTGCTATGTTAAAAGGTAGGACGAGTATGGGTTTACCCCGGTGTACTGGTCCATACAGCGCCTGATGCCCTGTGGTTATTTTCAGGAAGTACCTTCGTAAAAAAAAATAACTTACTCTGTAATAGGTATCTTTGGTAGGCAACACGATGCAAATATGAGTAATGGCGGACTTCCTAGAGGTAGTATGCTGCCTTTGAGTAACCGTTGCATATTGTCTCGTGTCTTGAAATAACCGGTAATAAGCATGACGAATTGCAGTAAACTAACTGAGAGATATCTGAAATTGACACAATATTTGTTGTTGAATATTTACAAAATAACACCCTTTAAACATTATATAATATTTATTTAAATAATGTATACAAAATTGGGTATATTTCAATTATGTAAACATGTTTTAAAAGAATCAACCTACTGTATACACACACCTAATATAGAAACATATATAAAACGTTCAACGAAACTTAAATAATTGTATTATCATTTCCGAAATTTTCAATTTATTTTACTTAAACTTGTATTTTGTTCGAGTATAAACGAAGCGAAATGATCTATATTTTTTCGTGGTTTTAAAGTATTATAGAAATAATAGGCTACCGTATATCAACTGATAAATTTCAGCTTCGTACTAATTGCTTTTACCACTATCACGATCTCTCATAATCTCGACCTCGATTAGTGAAATTTATATGGAAGCTTTACATTAAGAATTATCATGTATATTGTTTATTCTTTCAGTTTCAAAAGAGGAACTTCAGTGTACTGTATTCATGAAAAATAGGGAAGTAAATAGTTATTAGTTACTAACTTCTCCGAGAGGCCTTTAATTATAAACCTAAAATCATAAATAAAATATTGACTAACCGTACCAAGTGTGTATAGTGGAATAACGAAGGTGGTATTGGAATGCATTTATTCGGTGTGGATACTAAGAATAACTCAAGGAAATCCGAAGGCTTGTTTCCAGTGGGGTCCTTCTGGTGGTGGTTGGGCAGTAGACAGGGAGACAATCCCCTACTCTTTTACGAAGAGTGTATAGCACAGCGTTCATAAGCGTGCACATGCCTATAGGTCTTGTTCTTATCGAGTCGATTAACGAGATTATACATGAGCGCTCCTTTCTTGACCCGGGCCTATAGACGGGAGGTTGAGAGATTGCTAAGACATAGTCATAATCTAAAATGCTCCTTTCTAGATGAATTCGATACACCACGTCAACCTTTGGAAACCACTTTAATTAGCTACAATTAAGCAGTATAAGGCGGCATAATTCTGTCAGTTAGTCATGTAAACATTACGACAGTTAGTTTCAGGCGTCATCTTTTCTGCTGTAGACTTACCAATCAATCACACAGCAGAGAGATAATGAGAGAGCGACGGATTAAACTAATTCGTGTTTCTTGATTGCTCGATTTACTATGCAGCCCTTAAGCCTGGCACACAGCTTCGTACGACTGGCGGTCGACGAATCTACCTCCGCTCTCCGTGAGCGGTTGGCGACACGACGCCGTCTGCTGATCGTCGGTCAGTCTGAGCGAATCGCCATTAACAACGACCTGTTGCGCGCGCGTCGTCCAGTTGCGTTTTCTACAGAAATCGCGTGGGCCGACGACTCCAGGTGCAGTGAATGTCCGGCTGTGCTGTTCATTTACGTGTACTGTAGGTTGGTATTTCTGTTATTGATAATTTTATAGGCATATGAGTAAATATTACGGTATGCTTGGAGATGAATGATGGTTTAAGGCATATCTCTCCATTCTTCAAACAAATATGTACGGGTATCTTAAGAACGTCCAAGTGTTGAAAAAAAAATCACAATTTAATTACAGTATTAGCAAACAGATATGTCGGTAACAGTTCAACATACTCAATTAAAGTTACTTGACATTGAATACCAGGAATTAGGATTTTAAATTATGATTAACAATTTAAACTACTTCCGTTAAATGTGGGATTTGTGGGCGGTTTCTATTCAATGGTTTGACCTTTTGTTCTAATTAATTTGTGCAGAATAAGGTTGCATGCATTCACGTTAATTTGATCTGAACCGGAATGCGGCGGCGCTTCCGATGTGCTTTCCATATTCTTTCACATTGATTCGTTTGTTTGATCGGTTCGCTACGCTTTCCGATCCAAAAATTCGGATTAGGTGTGAATGCACATTAAGTGACACTAAATATACGGTAACTTAACAACTGACCAATCAAACAGCGTCAGTTTTTACTGGTTTTAAAGCCCTGTCCAGACTATCAAATTTGTTTTGACAAAAGCATATAACATGCCTAAATATGGTCATGATGACATCACATCATGACCAAATATAGGCACATCATGACTATATATGGGCATACATTAGTATTTTTGTAAAAAGAAAATTCATAGTCTGCTGGACAGAGCTTTAAACTGTCGTTGTGAGCCGTAGTAACAATATCCAAGGGGCGGAGCTTAGCGGAAAGATCAATTACCTGGTATTTAAAAAAAAATTGGTTATCAACGTTAAACTTCAAAAGTTAATGTAATGTCAAAACGCGAATGTTTAGTAAAATAATTAATCTTTTAATAAATTATTTCATAACGCTCACATGAAAAACTTTTAAATTCCTATACACAGTCATACCGTAGAGATTATTCACTATCAGACAGATCAACATGAATCAATCTACAAAAGAGTTAGGCAATGATACTTACACCTGAGCAGTGAACCGTGCTACCAAAGACGCCCGTGGCACATACAAAGAAATCAGAGACGTGGCTGAGAATACCTATCGAGAAAGAGACACCTCCAAGTTGTAATATTATCTTTATTACAATAATCAAATGACTCTGTTACAAAAAGAAAATTGTAAAGAGGCACAAACCCTGTCAATATATTCATAAGGCACATTATATCATCATCATCATCATAGACAACATCATCATCCTAGTTAACGTCAACATTATCAATATAATCATCCTCATCTGTGAATAAAACAAACTAGCACTCAAGGTTTCGTGTAGACAGTACACTTCATCAGGTGAATTGCACTGTATAAACGTAAGCCTGCGCGGATGCAAGGGGTGCTGACAGTGCGATCGCACCCTTAAATTGTATTAGAAAAAAGTAATTGTTGTATTGCATAATTGTTGATATGAATTACCGGTAAGATTTTAAAGGTATGAGAGTGCAATTTCCGCGCACCTAGAGGTCCATATTCTCAAATTCTGCCCACCTCATCCCCAACCATGGTTTGGCTGAGGTGGTGTGGACCAGAGCCGTAGATAGAGAGAGTTTGGCCAACTCGGTTTCAATCACGTGACTTACACCGGCCATGTTGTCACCAAAACAAACAACGCGATAGGGTAGGAAGTTAGCAGTTAATAGATGATTAATGCTATATAATGTGAAATACCGTTATGTTGGGTTTGGGGTTGCTGCAATTGATCCAACAAAGAAACAAAAATGTATTAATTTCCTTAAATTCCAAAAAGGAGGAGGATTTGGGATTTTATTTTAACTTTGCATGGCGATCGAAAAATCTCGCTATCCACGTAGTAAATTAAGGCATGTGCCTCACTTCGCGGTAATAATATATCCACCTACTACTACTGCTAGGCCTAGACAGGCCTAAATTTCTGTACTTCTTCGGCCGAACACCTTAAGGTAGTACTTAAATCAGCTTAATTACGATGATAATAATATAAAAAAAAGGAAGAATTTTCAAGCAGCAATGATTTATAAAAAGACGCAATGTTGCACTTTGCTGTTAAATTATAACTAAATTTCCAGAAAGCTACATGAAGTATCAGTCAAAGGTAGCTTAAATTATAATTAAAAATAAAAATTTAATCCTCCAATAAAAGCGAAAACTTGTCCAAGGAGACCTGTGCTATGCAAACATGCCCAATTGTGCTTTACACTCAATTAATTGTGCAACTAAAGATTTTAAAGATAAAAATATATTTTAAAGATATCCTAGGCCTAATTGTATTATAATATATTCATTGTTTTAATACATATTTTAAATCAAAACGTTTAAATGTTTTATAAATTACAAATCAAAATTTCAATGAATAGTAAATAATGAATAATAAATAATAATAATAATAATAATAATAATAATAATAATAAATAATAATACAGTAATAATGATAATATTATAACTCACTAATATTATTTATAAACAGAAGTGTGGAGAATGCTGCTATTTTACTTAAGGCCTAGCTTCTTGATTATGATGATTAGGCATATGTTGTACAAAAATTCCTCTCAATGCAATAATTCTTCAACTTTGATTTATTGTTTAGATTAAAATTTACAAATAGGCCTAGGCTAGGCTATTTGTTGGTTTGAAGATGACCAGCATATTTTATTTCATAAATTAAAGTTTACGAAGTCATAGGCCTAGAGGCCTATCCTAGATGTGTTATTATTAATTTTTATCATTCATTTACAGGCGAAATTAACATTTATCGCCGACGATTCACAAACCTACTCTGTCTGCACAACCAACCTTTCTCCTCTGCAGTGTTGACTCTTAGGAGCCTCATGCTATATAGAGTAGGCTGCTGCTAGCAACTAGGTATAGGCCTAGATGATAGACTTTCAAAACAAAAAGATAATCGTAACGAAAAAAAAATAAAGAATCGTCCTCACTTTATCTTCTCGAAATAATACAGCAAGTCACTGATTAATTAATTCCAAAGTTAGGTAAAGATTGTTATACAGTATATGATATTTACAATGATATGTTAAAATCCCATAATTGAATTGTCCTCATGAACAGAATAATGAAAGAAAGTTTATGCAGCATCAATGTTTTATAAAATGTTATAAAGCTATACGCGCGCACGCTGTTTGGTGACAACATGGCGCCCATGCGCCAAGTTGGCCAAACTCTCTCTATCTACGGCTCTGGTGTGGACTCTCACGCACCCCCTACCGTCAAATCCCTGAATCTTCCCCCAGAAAGCGTGTGTTAATGTGTTGCTGTTGGATGAGAAAGAAGTAAACCATCACCAACATTATGATTGCCATCATCATCTTCTTCATCACTATTATTATCATCACAATCATTATCATCATCTGGCACAATCGTCATTACCACCAGACTCCATCATCATCATCATCATCATCATCATCATCATCATCATCATCATCATCATCATCATCATCATCATCATCATCATCATCATCATCATCCTCATCATCATCATCACCACCATCATCATCATCATCACCAGCACCGTGACTGTCATCATCACCACCATCATCTTCTTCAATGGCGTTATCCACAATAATCACGACCGTAATTTTTTGGCGTCGTCGTCGTCGTCACAGCATCATATTTCATCACACGTGCTTTACAGATCCATCTAATTAAAGAAACTCCAAATAAAAGCCCGTGGGCTACCATCCTCATTTTTCAATAATATTCCCACAGCACCAGTTACCAATCCAGCTCGAGTGTTTGTGCACATATTTCTTTGTCCAAAAAATCGTTTAACCAATGTGTACGGAAGACATAGGCCTAGTAAATGATACTTCGGCCTATATACTAGAAGGACAATAGTTTAAGAACGATAGATTATACAGTACTCACTGGATATATACCCATAATGAAAGATAGCTGAACCTTGCGTCGACTGGCTATTTTTCGGCAAACGAATATCTCTCCTTCGATGAACACGATGAAAGTAATAATAGATAAAATGGTGGCTGCTACTAGTGTAGTCGTCGATGCATAATTGCCGTTTATAGCTATAAATGAACAAAATAAATAGTACAATAATACACTAACGTTCTTTGAATATGTTGTAATATTGCTATAATATAGGGGCCTAGTTTATTTATGTTATTTTTAATTTTATTTCAAGTACATCCAACATCGGTATCGCACATTACAAGATGTCTTAAAATACACATAGGCCTATATAGATATAGGCATATGGTAAAATACAAGAAAGCCCATAATAGGGAAACTGGGACTAGGTACGGACGGCTTCACTGGGGGTGTTGTGCATGCCAAAGCAAATTTTTTTACAGATTATCTGAAAGGCATTTTTTCCCTACTGGGAACAGTAGAACTAACCTTGCAGAAGTTGAGACGTTGTTGGATCTTCGAAATCGAACGAACAGTTATTGGCATCACCATCCGCCATGTTGATAATACAGACCTACAATTTAGTGGTTAAATAATAATCACCATAAATATGATGTCACCTATCTTCTGTAAATAGTTCAACAAGTAGTCTGTAATAACATAATTTATAATAATTAATATATAGCCTATATAAACAAATCTAATACATGACTTTTAT